CGCGCGAATCCCGAGACTTACGGTCTCCGTCCCCGATTATGGCTCCTGCGAAAACTGAAAATGAAATCGGATGCATATGTATTTGATTTTGAACAGTATTTCCCTTTTGAACTTTAAAAAACTTTTGGAATCATTTTTTTTCTAGGTACTCATCAATATCAGAACACCTCTCGCTGGAAGAAGCAAGACTTCCAACTTATCACGTGTCTTGTACGAAGCACGTTTGGTGAAATATGGCAGGCCAGGCTACATGGCTCTAATCGGATAGTCCGCATTCGATTGTCAGTAGGCTCGGATGATGTGTATGTGTATGACAAACAGCTGATGGCAAAAAATACAAACGTAAACACCGCAAGAGTTGTATAAATCTATAAAGAGAGGATTTTTCTAGAAAAAAAATTAGATGTAGAGTTACTGAATGACCTGCTCCTCTATGTACGTAGTACGTTTAATGAAGGAAGACTTCAATATTAAATTAGCAGTTTTCAGTGATTTATAATTTATACAGACGTAAGAAACTTGTCAATTCGAAACTTTAACTTCCAGTTACTTTGTATATATTATAATCAATCGTTAAACATCGTTCATTGCCGAATTTCTCCAGTTGTGAAATTTTTATTATAAGAATTTGTGTGAGAAAAGTGCCCAATGGTCTAATGCACCATCAATTCCAATACTTCGTGAACTTTAAGTTTCGGTTTGATCAACACATAAATGATATATCTATGTTTGTATATAATGCTTAAATTCAGAGTAAGTTTATTTGTAATATATATAGTTTCAATTAACATTGCTGCTTCTGCTGGGTTGTAACCTGGTCAAGGAGTTCGTTAAATAGGGAGCACTCCGAAAAACGGCGAGAGGGAAAATACGGGAGGCGAGATCGACAGAGAGAAAACCGTGATCATTTTTTACATTTTCCACCGATAGACAACCTGCAGAGGCCTCGTAACATAACCGTCGATTGTCTCAGAAGAGCAAAATGGGGATGCTAGGTCTAGACGACTTCAACGGCTTACAAGATTCATTTGTCGCTTTTTCACCTCACTGAGCTCCTCCCCTATTTTTCCCTGGCCGTTTTTCGCGCCACTCGCCAACCAACGGAATGCGCACCTGGACTAAGCTAGTTGCGTGGTAATACAAGACGGATTTGTAGTATCCTGGATTTCTTACACACATAACGTCACCAACATCTCAAATATGTTTGATACATCTTGCCTGGAGCCAAATTTGCTGCGCTTTTAATCACATGCCAAACTTAGCTAACGATTGCGTTTTGGCTGCCGTCAATCACACACGAAAACCAATGAACCTGGAAAAAAACAATAAACAAAATGACTCGAAATTTACCAAATCACAACTCATGCAGACGTGTCCATTTGAACCAGTCAACTGCTGTTTCCTGAGACGTCAACTAAGATGATTAACACCATACAGCGAAACACGTTCATCGAGCAGAGTTCGTGCACTATTAAAAAAAACACTTTAATTTAGTATTCGCTAAATGTGCCTTACATTTGCTTTTATAACTCGCTTATAGATTACTAAATAATAAAATCGACGCCTACTTTTCTACACTGAAAATCGTATTCATTTTACATCAACAGGTGTCTTGTACACCCTGAGAGCAATAATAGCCTGCATGGCTGGGCTTTTTACCTTGTTAAGGAACTAGTAGAGGCAAGATCTACTCATGCCGGATCAGTTGGAGGATAAATCGATGCAAAAGCACAAAGAAATTCGTACAATCTTGCACTATACATGATAACCCTTCCAGAAAATAAGGCCCCCAAAGCCTTCCGATGACAATCCACACACCTGGAACTATGCCTCACATGCATATATGTTTAGAGAGCACAAGAAGTTTATGAAACTTTCAAACTTCTGTCCGCTCCTAAGCTTTGATACGCACAATCTCTTCCAAATATGAACTCGAACATTTTTAAACACAAAATTTATTTCCGGTAACAAGCTTGTACACCCTCCCCCCGGATAATAAAAAGTGCCCCTTTTTCAATCCCCCTCTCAACGGATAAGCTTTGGGTGGACTATGTGAGTCCAACCATCATGAGAATATTGCTTCTCCCTAGCGTCAGATTGAAACACATCTATCATCATTTTTCGGTGATATGGCGGTTGACCACGAACAAGTACAAGGATAAATTTTAACTGTGATAAAGGAAGATCTTAATTCGTGCCAATTACCCTAGCTTGAAGTTTGAACCTAAAGAGCGTAGTCACAATATCGTGATTTGTTTTCTTCCGTGATTTGTGTTCATCTGTTCTACCATACCTGGTAGAAATGTTTTCTTTCTTATTGCAGCTGGTTTTCGGTCCTGCAGGCTCTGTTGAATGTCAACTTCGAGTTACCCGAGGGTTTGTATGCTTTAGTGGATTGCGCTTGATGTTGCACCATTCATACATGAATTTGGTTTCCTTTTACTTCAGTGCGACGGCTGCCATTTTGCAATTTACCAACAAGTCTCTAGTCCAACAGACATGTTTTGAGCAATAGAATTATTCCACTTTATATTTGAACAATCCATCGCTCTCTCTCGTAAATCTATACAATTTATTTTTCCTAGAGGGCACAGTAACGAATCCTGCATTCTAATTGTTCTGAGCGCGGTCCGGATTTTCCCATCTCTGCGCTTGGTCGCGGTAACCCGCGCGCGATGTATCTGTGGAAAAGGTCAACAGTTATAAAAGTGATTTGAGAGAGAGGAAAAATAAATAAGTTATTTCCCGGCTATGGTTGGTCCGTGTAGTGAAAAACTGTGACCGAGGGCTTGAAAACGCCCTCGGTCACAGTTTTTCACCATACGGACCTCCCTACCGGTAAATAACACATATATTTTCACTTTAATAAGAATAACCGACGGTACTTAAATCCCTGTTGTGGTATCGCGACATTTCAATAAACGTGGTAAATTCAGCCAACATCACACCAAATCACTGCAAGACGTCAACAGCATGCTCCTGGCGACATGCTGAAATAATTGAACTACTAAGTACTACAGATTCTCCAAAAGTAAATTAACCACACTTTTAGACCTTTTGACTTTCTAACATGCGTAGGTGCAAGTGACATCGAAAACAAGATAGCAAAGAGCCTTTCTAAAGTTTATTGACGGCAAGTTTATCATGGTATAGTGTACAGTTTAATACAATCTACTCATATTTCAACAGCGCTAACCTAATGAATTTTGGCGTGACATCCAACGTTCGTTACAAAGCTAACTCACACGTAAAGAACTCAGTGAAACTTTCGTAATACGACATTTAGTTTTCCTCTTACGAAACAGTAAGAGGACAGTGTTCCAATCGCTACGATCTTGAAGATCTTTTTCTTAAGAGGAAGATGAATATGATGTATGCATCGGAGGAAAATATCACACATTTCCAAAAGTTAGTACGTTCTTTTGCCCCGTGTAATAAGCCAGGNATTTGATTTTGAACAGTATTTCCCTTTTGAACTTTAAAAAACTTTTGGAATCATTTTTTTTCTAGGTACTCATCAATATCAGAACACCTCTCGCTGGAAGAAGCAAGACTTCCAACTTATCACGTGTCTTGTACGAAGCACGTTTGGTGAAATATGGCAGGCCAGGCTACATGGCTCTAATCGGATAGTCCGCATTCGATTGTCAGTAGGCTCGGATGATGTGTATGTGTATGACAAACAGCTGATGGCAAAAAATACAAACGTAAACACCGCAAGAGTTGTATAAATCTATAAAGAGAGGATTTTTCTAGAAAAAAAATTAGATGTAGAGTTACTGAATGACCTGCTCCTCTATGTACGTAGTACGTTTAATGAAGGAAGACTTCAATATTAAATTAGCAGTTTTCAGTGATTTATAATTTATACAGACGTAAGAAACTTGTCAATTCGAAACTTTAACTTCCAGTTACTTTGTATATATTATAATCAATCGTTAAACATCGTTCATTGCCGAATTTCTCCAGTTGTGAAATTTTTATTATAAGAATTTGTGTGAGAAAAGTGCCCAATGGTCTAATGCACCATCAATTCCAATACTTCGTGAACTTTAAGTTTCGGTTTGATCAACACATAAATGATATATCTATGTTTGTATATAATGCTTAAATTCAGAGTAAGTTTATTTGTAATATATATAGTTTCAATTAACATTGCTGCTTCTGCTGGGTTGTAACCTGGTCAAGGAGTTCGTTAAATAGGGAGCACTCCGAAAAACGGCGAGAGGGAAAATACGGGAGGCGAGATCGACAGAGAGAAAACCGTGATCATTTTTTACATTTTCCACCGATAGACAACCTGCAGAGGCCTCGTAACATAACCGTCGATTGTCTCAGAAGAGCAAAATGGGGATGCTAGGTCTAGACGACTTCAACGGCTTACAAGATTCATTTGTCGCTTTTTCACCTCACTGAGCTCCTCCCCTATTTTTCCCTGGCCGTTTTTCGCGCCACTCGCCAACCAACGGAATGCGCACCTGGACTAAGCTAGTTGCGTGGTAATACAAGACGGATTTGTAGTATCCTGGATTTCTTACACACATAACGTCACCAACATCTCAAATATGTTTGATACATCTTGCCTGGAGCCAAATTTGCTGCGCTTTTAATCACATGCCAAACTTAGCTAACGATTGCGTTTTGGCTGCCGTCAATCACACACGAAAACCAATGAACCTGGAAAAAAACAATAAACAAAATGACTCGAAATTTACCAAATCACAACTCATGCAGACGTGTCCATTTGAACCAGTCAACTGCTGTTTCCTGAGACGTCAACTAAGATGATTAACACCGTACAGCGAAACACGTTCATCGAGCAGAGTTCGTGCACTATTAAAAAAAACACTTTAATTTAGTATTCGCTAAATGTGCCTTACATTTGCTTTTATAACTCGCTTATAGATTACTAAATAATAAAATCGACGCCTACTTTTCTACACTGAAAATCGTATTCATTTTACATCAACAGGTGTCTTGTACACCCTGAGAGCAATAATAGCCTGCATGGCTGGGCTTTTTACCTTGTTAAGGAACTAGTAGAGGCAAGATCTACTCATGCCGGATCAGTTGGAGGATAAATCGATGCAAAAGCACAAAGAAATTCGTACAATCTTGCACTATACATGATAACCCTTCCAGAAAATAAGGCCCCCAAAGCCTTCCGATGACAATCCACACACCTGGAACTATGCCTCACATGCATATATGTTTAGAGAGCACAAGAAGTTTATGAAACTTTCAAACTTCTGTCCGCTCCTAAGCTTTGATACGCACAATCTCTTCCAAATATGAACTCGAACATTTTTAAACACAAAATTTATTTCCGGTAACAAGCTTGTACACCCTCCCCCCGGATAATAAAAAGTGCCCCTTTTTCAATCCCCCTCTCAACGGATAAGCTTTGGGTGGACTATGTGAGTCCAACCATCATGAGAATATTGCTTCTCCCTAGCGTCAGATTGAAACACATCTATCATCATTTTTCGGTGATATGGCGGTTGACCACGAACAAGTACAAGGATAAATTTTAACTGTGATAAAGGAAGATCTTAATTCGTGCCAATTACCCTAGCTTGAAGTTTGAACCTAAAGAGCGTAGTCACAATATCGTGATTTGTTTTCTTCCGTGATTTGTGTTCATCTGTTCTACCATACCTGGTAGAAATGTTTTCTTTCTTATTGCAGCTGGTTTTCGGTCCTGCAGGCTCTGTTGAATGTCAACTTCGAGTTACCCGAGGGTTTGTATGCTTTAGTGGATTGCGCTTGATGTTGCACCATTCATACATGAATTTGGTTTCCTTTTACTTCAGTGCGACGGCTGCCATTTTGCAATTTACCAACAAGTCTCTAGTCCAACAGACATGTTTTGAGCAATAGAATTATTCCACTTTATATTTGAACAATCCATCGCTCTCTCTCGTAAATCTATACAATTTATTTTTCCTAGAGGGCACAGTAACGAATCCTGCATTCTAATTGTTCTGAGCGCGGTCCGGATTTTCCCATCTCTGCGCTTGGTCGCGGTAACCCGCGCGCGATGTATCTGTGGAAAAGGTCAACAGTTATAAAAGTGATTTGAGAGAGAGGAAAAATAAATAAGTTATTTCCCGGCTATGGTTGGTCCGTGTAGTGAAAAACTGTGACCGAGGGCTTGAAAACGCCCTCGGTCACAGTTTTTCACCATACGGACCTCCCTACCGGTAAATAACACATATATTTTCACTTTAATAAGAATAACCGACGGTACTTAAATCCCTGTTGTGGTATCGCGACATTTCAATAAACGTGGTAAATTCAGCCAACATCACACCAAATCACTGCAAGACGTCAACAGCATGCTCCTGGCGACATGCTGAAATAATTGAACTACTAAGTACTACAGATTCTCCAAAAGTAAATTAACCACACTTTTAGACCTTTTGACTTTCTAACATGCGTAGGTGCAAGTGACATCGAAAACAAGACAGCAAAGAGCCTTTCTAAAGTTTATTGACGGCAAGTTTATCATGGTATAGTGTACAGTTTAATACAATCTACTCATATTTCAACAGCGCTAACCTAATGAATTTTGGCGTGACATCCAACGTTCGTTACAAAGCTAACTCACACGTAAAGAACTCAGTGAAACTTTCGTAATACGACATTTAGTTTTCCTCTTACGAAACAGTAAGAGGACAGTGTTCCAATCGCTACGATCTTGAAGATCTTTTTCTTAAGAGGAAGATGAATATGATGTATGCATCGGAGGAAAATATCACACATTTCCAAAAGTTAGTACGTTCTTTTGCCCCGTGTAATAAGCCAGGGTCCCAGGCCTATCAGTCTAAAGCACTGACTGTCTTACTTCGGAAAACAAACTCCAGGCGTTTGTCTTTTAGCCTGCGGAACTGGCGGTTTCGACAACATTCTTCTCGCGTCTTCCCCTTCGCCGCTCTTTTCGCGCCACAAAAGCCTACTGAAAAATCCCACATAAATCGCCCGCTTCGCAAGCTATTTCTCTCTTTGAAAAAACCCTGGAACCCGACTTTTTCAGTCTAGGCTGAACTTGGGCTCTGGATCCCTAGAGCCTTTTGGGACACTGAGAAGTGCGTGCGTTTCTGTTCTAAATGTCAAAGTTCGTTTAAAATATGCGGACGAATTTATAAGGAATTTTACACTGGCAACTTGCTAAACAGTTTGTTTACGATATATGCGTTAAAAATTGCAGCATATTTCCTTACATACAATGTTTCGTTTACCAGTAAACCTTACGAGTGAAACAAAATGTGCACCGATGTCTAAACTAATACTGAAAATGTGTCTTGATACGCTGACACAACATTTTACACGCGATAGCATAGTGACTTAAGTTTCACCACCGACTAGGAGCAACAATTTCATCAACAACACAGTAGTAATAAAAACATTTAGCGCTCACTCTTTGACTGAAACATGTCAAATCCACAAAACTTCCACTTGGTGTTGCCACTTGATTCGCCTGTCCTGAACACAACAGGCAAACTGGACAGCAGTCTCTCCACTACGTCTTTCCGGCGTTCCTTGAACTGCCGGGACAAATGGTCTCGTATCTCTCCACTTGTGGCACCAGAAGGGCACAGCTGCAGGTAGGAACAAATTATGCCAACCAGCACAAGCTCCTCGCCAGAGAGGCGGACCAGAGTGGGTCCAAGCTCCACGGGCCCATAACTGGCCATTCCAGCTGACAGCCAATTTTGATACTGAGCATTGTAATCTTGTTGATAAACTGACCAATCAGCAGGGAGCTGCTCGGTCACTTGCATGTCATGTTCTATCAAAGGTTTGTGATCAGCCACTTCTTTATAATCATCTTTGCCTGGAAGTTGTTCGTTCGCTTGTTCATCATTTTCATTCAAAGGTTTGTGATCAGCCACTTCTTTATAATCATCTCTGCCTGAAAACTGCTCGCTCGCTTGTTCATCATTTTCATTCAAAGGTTTGTAATCAGCCACTTCTTTATAATCATCTCTGCCTGCAAGCTGCTCGTGCATTTGCTCAACACTTTCATTGGCAGGACTGTGAGTGACTACTTCTTTATAATCATCTTCGCTGTCCTCATCCATGTCGTCAATAACTTCAAACTGTTCGTCGTCTATTTGTACAAATCTCCCACATCCTTCCTCTTCATCGTCCTCCTCTGCTTGGTTCTCTTCTTCCATTGCATCCTCTTCTTCTAGTTTCTCTCCTTCCACGGGCTTGTCTCCTCCGCCCTCTGACCTCACTCCGTCTTCTGGTGGCTCGTCTTCTTCATCAGGTGCCCCTTTTACTTCGGTTGGCTTCTCATCTTCTTTCACTGCAGTTCCAAGTGCGTTGCTCTCTTCAGCGGCCTTTTCTGTTAATTCAAAGTTTTCATTCTGAATAGGAACACCTTCACTCTGGAAATCACCATCTTCAACCTTCACCTGATGCTCAGTTTGACTCAGTAGAGAACTATGTCTTTTGCAGCTTACGTCTCCGCTGTCTGCTTCTTTTTCACCAAGTTGCTCGCCACTCTCTTCTTTACCAACTTCATTATGGTTTTCTGCATTTTGCTCAACTTTCCTGCTATCATCATCTTCCATAATTTCCTCCTTTATCTCTTCTGCATCATTTTTCGTAACATTTTCATGTTTTATTGCTACTTCATCTGTTGCCGTTTGATGATCATTGCTTAACTCGACCACAATTTGTAGTTCCGACGGTTGGTCGGATGTTAAAGTCTGTAATCAAAGAGAAGAGTTCAGTTTTCTGCTATGAAAGTGGCCTCTGGGCCCGTTAGCAAGGGTGGCAAAGGTGTATGCAAAAGCGTCCTTAAAAGTTATACAACAGGTAAGAAGTTATTAAGGGGAACTCGTGTCCAAGGACTATTGACGAAGGCATTAGACGTACTTTGAGTAAAAGCGTTGATCACTGCTAGCTACATGTAGCAAACAAACTGCTGGTTGCAGGATGACATTTATGTGGAAAATGGTGACTAGGCAAGGGTAGGCTATTCAACAATGTGATTCTGATATTGCTTTTTGACCAACACAGGGCTCCAACAACATTCTAAACTCCTTTAGAGAGTTCTCACGAGGTTGAATACATTGTACAAAATGTATGTTCAGATCTGTAGTGATACTTGCCGTCTATCTATGGTGAATATAATCTGACTCGGTAGTATTGTAAATTACCTTGTTTTAAAGTAACATGGTATTTATCTCAAACGTATAGAGGGATGATTGCAATTACAGCTTTTTCCTATGCTTACCTCTAGATCAGAGAGTAGCTTTGTATCTTTTATGTTCTGCTTTATGTACTGTACAGCTTGCTGCAGGCGAATGATCTGATAGCGGTAAAAAGAATGAACAATGAATAAGTCAGTGAAAACAATGAAGTGAATATAGTATAGTTTATCTCCTTCTATACATCTGAACCTCAATAGTGATCAAGGTCTCCAGTAACTCCTAATTTAGGAGAGGTATTTCCTTGATGCACCACCACTAAATCATAAGATATCAACAGAGGAGTTTAACTCCACTTTCTGTAATAAGAAGCAACCAGGAGTCAGCCAGGAGTGTTGCTGCTGCTCAGTACGAGATGCTAATCTATCGCAGGTCACCTTGCCTAGAGAAAACGTGGCAATACTTCAACCCAAAATTCAATTCTATTAACTTAAAATTAGACTACCATGTTTCTCTTAAGCAACCAATGAGAACAGCATCAGGTTCTACACATGAGACTGAAATACAGCATTGTACCTCTTGATCTTTCTCTTTCAACCTTTCACCATACTGTTGTCTAGCCACATCAGCTTGGTACTGGTAGCTTTGCATGGACCACATTAGGTTGGTGTTTTGCTCAGCAATTCCCTTGAAGCTTTCAACTTGAGTACGCAACTTCTCATTCTCTAACCTGAGAGCATCAGTGGGGTCTGCATCAGATTCTGCAAGATAAGTAAAATAAACAATTAAAATTAAAACAGATGTAGATTCTACTTTAAAGGTGATATCCCGACTTTCATAATTTTGCTTCTTTTACCCTGGGAACAATATTGTGGAAAAAAGATAGAAGGCATGTCCAGGCCATGAGTTTTAACATAATTTTAAATTCAAAGGAGTGAAACACATCCCAAAGTGGCTCTTTCAAACTTAAGACACTTGAATGGTAGAGGATGAGCCAAATAATAAGCCTCCACAAACAAATACTGAAAACCAGTTAGAGACATTTGTGATTAGGTCTACAGCAAGAGCACCTGGCTCATGACCCTGACTTGTTTTGAGATCAATGAAATAACCAGGGCAAATAAGCCATTTTTATGTCAAACAATTCTTGGGTGGAAAAGCAAACTTTGAGTTAAAGTTGGCACTGACGTACTGGACCCATCATGCAAGGGCATGATAACCATGAAAGTGATCTGTGATAATCAAGGAAAGATTACTCAGAATAATCAAAGAAAACCAAAGAAAATTGAACAACACACAGAAGCAGACTCGAAGCAGCAGGTGGTGCTGAAGAAACAGGGAGTTTTTTGTGTACGGACATCATCCTCTGGAAGACATTCTTGGTTACACATTCAGCAGGTTAAAAAGACTTCTACAACCATATGGCTTTAACAATGGGTATGTACCACAAAAAAACATATGGAGGTCCCATAAGATGATCCCAGGCTTTCCATCAAGTTGATATGAGTAGATACAAAAGGAGTGTGTCCAAAGCCTTGTTCAATGAACCTAACAGCTATGAGAAGATTGACTGAGAGATGGGGATGTAAGAACCAGAGCCCAGAGGGCCTCACCTCAAGCGAGGTCCATGGGCAAGAAGCTTTGTCCTGATAATAAAGTGTTGGCAGCTACAGTGCATCAGTGGACTACTTAACTATCACACAACTATCTAGTCTCTGAATGTCAATATGCTCTATCGGCAAATAACAAGTTTAGATGTCTGCACTCAGGTTATGGGAAATCTTACCTGGAGAGACATTAAGTAAAGATGCACACTGAACACAATTCTCTCTGCAACTTTCCCTATTTAGCCGCGAATTCATAACAAATCATTGCACACTGCATGGCAACCTTATACTGTTACCTGGAGCCTGAGCATCACAACGTGGTTTCTTGGCCTTCGAAGGTTGCAAACTTTCCTCTTGTTCAGGTGGTTTTTCTTCTGCCATTTGCAGTGCTGGCTGCTCAATCAGCCCGCCGAGGTTTGGCACCTCATCATCCAAGTCCATACCTACCTCCTCACGATTCTGGATCTCAGCCTCTTGGGCTGATCTGATTTCCTGGGAAATGGCACACAATGACATCAGTGAGAACTGCTGTGAACTCCTTACCTTTGAATCCATCCAGTTTCCTTGAAATGCCAACTTATCACCAATGGATCTTTTTTGGGGGGTAGGATTTGAAGAGGGGATACTGAGAGCAGAAAGTGGTGGCGTAAACGGCAAGCCTGCTGCAACCTACCACATTACTGGAGTTTAGAACGAACTGTAACTAATACTAACCACGATGGGTTATGAAATACAAAGACTGTGTATCTTGAAAAGTGTTAAATTTGTGATCAAAATTCACATTTTCCACATCGGGTATATGCAGATAGATGGTGTGTGAGGGCTTCCTGATCTGAGGTTTTATGTCAGGGAGTCCACAAGTAAATGCTTTCAGGGCTTTTTTTGCTAGTTGTTTTTATCATGCATCTATTTTAGCTCTTTCTTGTTCCTTTAATTATTCACGAGATTAGAGGTCATTTAAGGGTTATTTTCCACTGGCTGAGTGAAATAAAAAAAAGTGGAACATGTTTTTGTCACACACCACTTGGGCTTATGGCTGGGATAAAGGTCACATGATGCCAAAGATGAGGAGTTGTTCTTGTTACTGTCCACCATTGTCCGATGTTATCAAAGTTATTTACACAGTAATTTTTGCATCTGTTTACTTTTGTTTTGATGTGAGCTCTTCACTGAGACATTTAGAGAGAATCTCGACATTCAAAGAGGAGTTCTCAACCCATTGAGCATCTTGAATGCAACAAGAGCCCAAGTATGCAACCTTGCAATTGTTTGAGGTAAGATACTCAAGACGCTGATGATGATTGGGAGCAAGTATTGATAGTGGAGGGGCTAGTGAATGTTAAAATTTTATGGCTACAAGATGAAATCTCTAGAACAAGACTGTCAGACTACATCATGTTACCACATTCCATCATTCATGAAGAGACAAATGGAAAACATAACATGGTTTCTTAGTGTAAGTAAATCATGTTCTGCAACTAACCTTAACCCTAACTATATACATCATTCAATCACAAAAAGTACTGTAGCACATACATTTTTTACAAATTTGTCATAGCGTGCTTTTTCAAGGGTTCTTACTAAAAAGTCATTTTGACACACTTTTATCCAAAAACAATTGCAACAACAACCAAAACTTGGTTTGAAATGTCAATGTCAAAATCTCTGAGCCTCTTCAAAACAGTGACACTCTTTAAGCTCAAGCATTTCAAATAAGCAATATACTGCTGTTCAAGGGTGAGTGACACTCAATACACTGAGGACACTTGAGCCATCAACACCTCACACTTTTTGTACATTTTTTGTCGACTATAGATTGAGGGCTTGACATCTCTTGGAAAAGCTAACCTTTTGATGCCAATTGTTGATACTTTTCATGACTCTGATTCTATACACCTTATTCCAAAATGGCAGCTGTCTCAGACGATCTGGGTCAAGTAGCATGAGAGCAAGGCATCAAGGGCTGCGACTCAATGTTTACATAGTTACAGTAATATTTGTGGCATGATACTCGAAATATGCCTCAAAACTGTTGTGTTCCTGGGTGTACGATATAGGTTTACGAAAAGGATGGTGTTAAAATATCTTTCCATAAGATCCCCGAAGACAGAGAGCTGGTCAGAAAATGGATAGTTGCCATATGGAGAGATATTGGCAAAGAGTTAGGAGTGACTGATCGTACAAGGGTTTGCTCAAGACACTTTAAAACCTGTGATTATCTCACATCACTTGCAGGCCGTAAAAAAACCTTAAAAAAATTGTGGCGAAGGGATCAGAAACAAGTAACGTGAACACAGCAAATGAAAATATCAGTTCCACGTGCAAACTTGTGACAGCCGCCATTTTGGAATAAGGTGTATGGCCACGAAATACAATGTTCAAAACATTGTTGAGTGTCCATTACTGTAATATTTTTTGCCATGACATGGTGCATTTATTCTGGGGTGCCTCTGTTTTTCTGAATAAATAATGCTGATATGGTAATGTGTTACTCACATTTTTGATTACAGTGTGCCACTGGGAAATGGTTTTTCTTTGTGCCTTAGTAAAAATGTCCCAAGCCTTCTTCTTAGTTGCTGCCTCAAATACTTTCCATACAGCATCACCTGAACAAAATATTAGTTTACCATTAATAAATAATCAGTTTGCCCAACTAGACAAGAGAATAATTGACACCAAATGTCAAATGCTACACTGAGTTGTTCCAGGAAATATCCATACCCCTTATCTGGTTTGAACCTGCCTTTCCCCACCCCACCCCCCATCCTCCACAATTCCTCTAGAAACTCAAACTGTGGTCTGCAATTTCCTTAAGAAAACTTACTTCTTGAGAGCAAAATGTTTGGCTCAAAACATAGATCTGAGGCTGGTGAGATCAACTGCAATTTCCATGGCAATGATACATCTGCCAATCCAAATGTGGATGTTATTGCTTATGCCAACATGCAATCTACTTCCACACAAAAAAGTAAACGTGGGCTGAAAATTTTCTTCTTCAACTTTGTTTCCCTTTTCTAGAGCAGTGCTCTGACGTACTGCTCTGAAATACTTTCAAGACCATATACAACAATCTTGTTACATAATTTCACACAAAATGACCTCACAACTAATGACATGTCTATGATTATAATTTCATAAGAAAATATTATGTGATATAACTTGGTGAGTTACTTAGAAATAATGGAAAACTAGGTCAGGTTAAATTAAGAGGTAACTTACATTGCTGTTTGATTTCATTTGCTTGTTCCATGGCCTGTTTCTTTTGTTTCTCTACTTGTTCCTCGTGTTCCTTCCGTTTGATGATCAACCGCTTGACAAAACTGTGGGTGGTGTTGAGCATTGAGTGGAAAACATTCACTGTAGAACGATTACATTCACCCCTTTCAAACCAATGAGCCATCGTCTCCAATGACTGAACTATAGAGGTGTCATGACGAAGGAGATCCAGAATTTGGAATGCATTCTGACGATTATAATACATCAAATTCAAATTCCTGTCTTCCTCCTTCTGGCCTGGCTTTTGTGTGTTCATTGTTGTGTTATTTTTCAAATTGTTGTCATCATTTGTTTCTTGGTCATAATTAACATAGAAGCGACTGATTTTGTTTTTTCTGTCGCTTCCATCCCCAATGACCAAGATGTGCCCATTAAATTTAACTGCTTTCTCGACAGAATCGTGTTTGGAAAATCTTACTTGCCAAGTCCTAGCTTTGATATTGTTTCGAGCACTTTTGAACGTGATTTTCTCTATGGGTCCACAAACATTGAATACCTCCCTAACAATGAATTCATCAGCCAGCATGGGTAGGCCACCTATGGAAATTGAGCGGCATCCAGGTTGCCTGACGCCCAATGGCAGTACATCTGTATCATCTGATGGAGGCAACAGGTAGCAGTTTGGACGTAGCTGTGCATACCAAGGTATAGCTGTGTTGTCTCTCCTGCCATACTTGCTCTCAATTACACTAAGTTTCAGACCTTTGTTTTTTTCAAATGATTGTGAGATATTTTTTGAAGCAAGATAATTTCCTCTGTCAAACTCCTCTCTTCCACGCCTTTCACTGTGCCTTGAAGACTCCATCTCAGGAAATAAAGAGCGTAGAGAAATTTCTTTATCCATAAGTCCATGAATGCTGCCTCGATCCTCATGATGATAATCTCCCCTATCGAAGTTACGACTTTCAGCAGCTTCCCTCAATGACCTCTGTCCACAATCACTAGATAACATTAACTTTTGCTCTCTATCATAATAGTTATCAGGGAATTGCCTATTTCTCTCTCCTCGGCTGTCTTGGCGATACAGCTCCCGATTCATGTTTTGTGTTCCTTGCACTTGTGGCATTCGTAATCGCCCCAGATTCTCCAGGAACTGTCGGGGATTCCCCAAGTCATTTCCAGCCACAGGCAATTGCAAAAGGTTCAAACCAGTCAGTTGATTGCCAAACGGTTGTCGTCTGTCCATCTTTTTAAGGTGCTGAAAGTCTCCAAACAATGAATCTGTCAAGTACTGGAGCAAAAATAAAATTATTTAAGCTTTACACTTAATCCACAAACGTGTGCATTTTCCCCAATCATCAGTGAAATTCTTAACGGACTAAAGCACTTCATCTTCAAACAAAAACATCTGTAATTATTCCAGAACCTTTAATCGTTTGCCTAAGCTTATCCTCTCTTTTCAAACACTCTCTATACATTACAACATTCTTGGAACCAATTTTTGACGTCTGGCAACTGAATGCGCACTGTTTCTAGAAACTAAAATCTGTGCTATGACTGTTATTGAGCAGAATGCATGGAAAACTTACAGCACATGCTCAACACTGTTTCAGAGCTACAGTGATAAAGTTCAAAGAAATCTGTTGCAAATAGCATCGCAACATCTTTAAAATGCAGTAAAGAAGGGTTCTACCTTGATCCTAAACTAAAAGGAGAATAATTCGTTGTTTTCCACACGCTTCTCACTCACTTGCTCTCTTCAGCCGCCTCATGCTCCCCTCTTCTCCAGGTCTACCGAGAAGGGTGTTGACTAACTATGGTGACGTTGGGTAGAAAAGTACCACAAAATTGAATGATTAAACTTTTAAACATACACGAAATAAAATAAACTCGTCCTATTAATATTCAATTGAATTAAATGATGCTGAAATTGCCTCTACTAATCGGAAGCTCAAACTGTGGTAGCAAATTTGGTTCGAGTGGCATCTCCCGAGCCTACCCTACATAGTAGACGATGCCGAAAGGTCCAGGTCGTCGCTTCCTTGGCAAACATAGAACGCCTGACAAAAATCGTACTTTCCACGTATGACTTCTGTCACGCTGACAAGGCATTTATCGATATTTGTACCTCGGAATGGGTGATATGGCTGTACCAGTTGGCTCCAGTGGAGGTTAGTGAATTCTTGTAAGGTGCAGTTGGATACCAATATATCAATCCGCGCCAAAACTTTTTGAGAGAAGATTGGAAAACGCAGAAGGTATTCTTGGTCGATGAAACAATTCAAACAGTCAAGTAGTGTAAGTTCACTGCAAGACGTAAAAATTCCCGTTTTTGATAAGTTTTTCTTGTACTATGAAACGAAACTATCATAGGTACAGAATTTTCGTTTCAGTAGAACTTTACCGAAACATTTTGAGGTTCAAATTGTGAGCTTCACTTACATCAGATAATTTGAAATAATTATACATTTACTTATGCTGATTTCCATGACAACTGTAGGGCTTGGCCAATAATTTTGTATTCCTTATAATATCTCTGCTTAACTGAATCAATTGGGAGAAGTCTAGCTATATATGCTCTTATTTATTTTAGCCTAGACCTCAAACTTTATGCATTGTGCAAGTTGAAGATTATTTACTTTGTACCCAAATGCAAGCCTGCATGATGTTTTTAATCCTTTATGCATGGATTAATTATATTTTTCACAGTGGTTGAGTTGAGATGCGCAGTTCAATGTTATGCCTGGGGTAAGATTGGCCTTAATAGTGCAGTTGCCCAGCTTGCTCAACATAGTCCACCATTTAAGCTTGAAGAGGACAAGCCCTATTCTGAGGTATTATTAGTAACAGCAACTGGGCTGATATCTTTCTTTCATTATTCCAATTAATTTACCTATAGGTAGCTAAATAAAATACAATTTAGTTAGCAAATTTGAAGGGTGAATTTGTTCTGCAAAGTACAAAGTCATGTTTTCAGTCCACACATTTAATTGTCTGTGAAGGTGCGGTGTGGTGTGGTGGCATCATGGTTAGTGCGCTGGACTTGGGATCAATAAGCGATAAGCGCTGGCCTGACGGGCCACTTGGCTTTTATACAGACTTTACTATTTAATTGTCTTCACCATCTTAAAAGATTTTATCAACTACTCAGAAAAATATTTGCTAGGAGTGGATGTCCACTTTTTATTGTATCTTATTCCAAAATCAAGCTCTTGTTTTGTTTTCGTCTTGTTTTCTTGTTTTCTTCTTATGTTCAGTCTCCTGGATAGTTGATTTTGTTATAAAAGTTATTTCAATCTATCTTCAACAGTTTTGGATGGGAACACATCCAAATGGACCATCAACAGTGCTAGGTGGAGAAAAGGAGACGTTTTTGTCTGACTGGATTGATGCAAACTTAGATGTTCTAGGACCCACTGTAAAAGAGACCTTTGATGGCAAACTTCCATTCCTGTTCAAAGTGTTATCAGTCAACAAGGCGTTATCAATTCAAGCACATCCAAACAAATCTCATGCAACTGTGCTTCATAAAGAGAGACCTGAAATATACAAAGATCCTAACCATAAACCAGAGATGGCCATTGGTAAGAATCATAGTAATAGACCATTCTACAGTGCTGGCCTTTGAATGGCAGCAAGGCTGGAGCTGACCTTGTTTTGATAAAGACCACTCAGCTTTTGTTGTGTAAATCACATTCTTCTAAATGCCAACTAGTTTACATTTATAACAAATAACAGAGCTTGACATTGCAACTGCTGGGGTCACCAATGCGACCAAATTTTTTGCACCAGCGACTAACTTTTTACGCTTTTCACTAAAATACTTCTGCTAGCAACTAAATCTGAAAATTAGAAGCCAGCTGGCCCCAAGGTTTTTCCTGAAGTCAAACCCTGAACAAGAACAGCAGATTGAGAGGTTTGTATCAAGCAACGTCACTTCCAGCCTGGCTTGCATTCATCGGCCAGGTAACTGAACACTGTAACATCTGTAAAGAGGCGTGTTACAGTTTCGGTAATCAAGGTACCTGACCATGTAGCTACTCTTTAGAGCTTATTATCGAAATTTCATGGTCTATCTTGATAAGCATCAGACAGCAGTTTAGCGTACTTGTCTAATAATTCATTTTCTTTTAATTCAAAACAGCTTTGACACCATTTGAAGGCCTTTGTGGTTTTCGACCACTGACTGAAATCCAGAAATTTGTAAATACAGTTCCAGAATTTGCTGAAGTCATTGGACAAGATGCTGCCAATGCCCTTGCAAGTGGTTCAGGTTTGTGGAAGCTTGTTTTGTTTTACAATGGGGACCACAGGAAAACTTTAAGTCAAAGGATTTTTTGAGACGTTAGTCTCACATGCTGTTGGAAAATTAGCACTAGACAGTTGCTATCATGTACTCTACCAATGGAAGTACAGCTAAACCTCCGCACAACAGCCGCCTTTGGGACAGAGAAAAGTGGCCATTTAATACAGAGGTGACCATTACAGGGAGGTAGGGATGTAACATGACAACCTGTTTTTTCACGTAAACTGCTTATTGTAGCATATAAATACACAACACAATCAAATTATGTCAATTAAACAGAAACCAAATAGAAACAGAGACCGACAACATGTGGAATAGATCAAATTTTGTGACATTTTACAATAAAAATAGGTTTTTTTATACACCATTCACCAGCCAGCTGTGATTAACTGGCTGTTGTCAAGTGGTTATTTTAGCAATTGGAATGCGCTTTAAAGGCCATTGCCATTGTGGAGAGGAGGCCATTGTAGAGAGGTTAAGATAAGTGAATGTCCACTGGGACATAAAAAAGTGGCCGTTTTAGAGAGGTGGCTGTCATAGAGAGGTGGCCGTTAGTGGAGGTTCAACTTTAAACAGGTTGTCTTATGATCATTTTCTCAATTGTTTTTTGACAGATTCCCTAGCCCTGAAGAAAGCTTTCGCAGCTCTCATGACAAGCAACCCAGATATTGTCTCTCAACAGCTTAATCAACTCTTGGAGAGACTTAGAGAGAAGAAATCTTCGGGTCATGACATCTCTGATCAGTGCGGAGACTTAGTCTTGAGATTGAACAGCCAATTCCCAGGAGATGTTGGTTGTTTTTGTATTTATTTTCTAAATCATATTGTCCTTCAACCTGGTGAAGCAATGTTTCTGGGTCCAAATCTGCCCCATGCATACCTGGCAGGAGGTAATGAATGTTACAAGTTAAAAATTACTTAGTTTTAATTTCCTAGTTAATGCAGGTTATTATTTTGGTAACACACAAAAGATAATTCCATAACATCTGCGATCAAGGCTTGAATCCTTAATGCAAATAATTTAGATCCCTGACACCTGTTTACAAGGCTACATACTCGTGAAGCCTCAAGCAGGATCATCACATCTTTGTTTATTACTTTGTGTAATCGTTGGGCCTAATATTAGTCATACCTTTCCTTGACCCTATCAGTCCATCTGTATATTACTACGATTATCAGTTGAATAAAGCGCAACAAAAGTTTGGTCACCAGGTTTTAACATGAAAATTTTGTTGTTGCCACAGGGAACTGGCTCTGTTTCTGGTGGAAACTTGTCAGTCTTTGACGTCATTGGCAACAAAGTACACGAAATTGTAGGCGATGTGACAGGCAATGNAACTTACTTCTTGAGAGCAAAATGTTTGGCTCAAAACATAGATCTGAGGCTGGTGAGATCAACTGCAATTTCCATGGCAATGATACATCTGCCAATCCAAATGTGGATGTTATTGCTTATGCCAACATGCAATCTACTTCCACACAAAAAAGTAAACGTGGGCTGAAAATTTTCTTCTTCAACTTTGTTTCCCTTTTCTAGAGCAGTGCTCTGACGTACTGCTCTGAAATACTTTCAAGACCATATACAACAATCTTGTTACATAATTTCACACAAAATGACCTCACAACTAATGACATGTCTATGATTATAATTTCATAAGAAAATATTATGTGATATAACTTGGTGAGTTACTTAGAAATAATGGAAAACTAGGTCAGGTTAAATTAAGAGGTAACTTACATTGCTGTTTGATTTCATTTGCTTGTTCCATGGCCTGTTTCTTTTGTTTCTCTACTTGTTCCTCGTGTTCCTTCCGTTTGATGATCAACCGCTTGACAAAACTGTGGGTGGTGTTGAGCATTGAGTGGAAAACATTCACTGTAGAACGATTACATTCACCCCTTTCAAACCAATGAGCCATCGTCTCCAATGACTGAACTATAGAGGTGTCATGACGAAGGAGATCCAGAATTTGGAATGCATTCTGACGATTATAATACATCAAATTCAAATTCCTGTCTTCCTCCTTCTGGCCTGGCTTTTGTGTGTTCATTGTTGTGTTATTTTTCAAATTGTTGTCATCATTTGTTTCTTGGTCATAATTAACATAGAAGCGACTGATTTTGTTTTTTCTGTCGCTTCCATCCCCAATGACCAAGATGTGCCCATTAAATTTAACTGCTTTCTCGACAGAATCGTGTTTGGAAAATCTTACTTGCCAAGTCCTAGCTTTGATATTGTTTCGAGCACTTTTGAACGTGATTTTCTCTATGGGTCCACAAACATTGAATACCTCCCTAACAATGAATTCATCAGCCAGCATGGGTAGGCCACCTATGGAAATTGAGCGGCATCCAGGTTGCCTGACGCCCAATGGCAGTACATCTGTATCATCTGATGGAGGCAACAGGTAGCAGTTTGGACGTAGCTGTGCATACCAAGGTATAGCTGTGTTGTCTCTCCTGCCATACTTGCTCTCAATTACACTAAGTTTCAGACCTTTGTTTTTTTCAAATGATTGTGAGATATTTTTTGAAGCAAGATAATTTCCTCTGTCAAACTCCTCTCTTCCACGCCTTTCACTGTGCCTTGAAGACTCCATCTCAGGAAATAAAGAGCGTAGAGAAATTTCTTTATCCATAAGTCCATGAATGCTGCCTCGATCCTCATGATGATAATCTCCCCTATCGAAGTTACGACTTTCAGCAGCTTCCCTCAATGACCTCTGTCCACAATCACTAGATAACATTAACTTTTGCTCTCTATCATAATAGTTATCAGGGAATTGCCTATTTCTCTCTCCTCGGCTGTCTTGGCGATACAGCTCCCGATTCATGTTTTGTGTTCCTTGCACTTGTGGCATTCGTAATCGCCCCAGATTCTCCAGGAACTGTCGGGGATTCCCCAAGTCATTTCCAGCCACAGGCAATTGCAAAAGGTTCAAACCAGTCAGTTGATTGCCAAACGGTTGTCGTCTGTCCATCTTTTTAAGGTGCTGAAAGTCTCCAAACAATGAATCTGTCAAGTACTGGAGCAAAAATAAAATTATTTAAGCTTTACACTTAATCCACAAACGTGTGCATTTTCCCCAATCATCAGTGAAATTCTTAACGGACTAAAGCACTTCATCTTCAAACAAAAACATCTGTAATTATTCCAGAACCTTTAATCGTTTGCCTAAGCTTATCCTCTCTTTTCAAACACTCTCTATACATTACAACATTCTTGGAACCAATTTTTGACGTCTGGCAACTGAATGCGCACTGTTTCTAGAAACTAAAATCTGTGCTATGACTGTTATTGAGCAGAATGCATGGAAAACTTACAGCACATGCTCAACACTGTTTCAGAGCTACAGTGATAAAGTTCAAAGAAATCTGTTGCAAATAGCATCGCAACATCTTTAAAATGCAGTAAAGAAGGGTTCTACCTTGATCCTAAACTAAAAGGAGAATAATTCGTTGTTTTCCACACGCTTCTCACTCACTTGCTCTCTTCAGCCGCCTCATGCTCCCCTCTTCTCCAGGTCTACCGAGAAGGGTGTTGACTAACTATGGTGACGTTGGGTAGAAAAGTACCACAAAATTGAATGATTAAACTTTTAAACATACACGAAATAAAATAAACTCGTCCTATTAATATTCAATTGAATTAAATGATGCTGAAATTGCCTCTACTAATCGGAAGCTCAAACTGTGGTAGCAAATTTGGTTCGAGTGGCATCTCCCGAGCCTACCCTACATAGTAGACGATGCCGAAAGGTCCAGGTCGTCGCTTCCTTGGCAAACATAGAACGCCTGACAAAAATCGTACTTTCCACGTATGACTTCTGTCACGCTGACAAGGCATTTATCGATATTTGTACCTCGGAATGGGTGATATGGCTGTACCAGTTGGCTCCAGTGGAGGTTAGTGAATTCTTGTAAGGTGCAGTTGGATACCAATATATCAATCCGCGCCAAAACTTTTTGAGAGAAGATTGGAAAACGCAGAAGGTATTCTTGGTCGATGAAACAATTCAAACAGTCAAGTAGTGTAAGTTCACTGCAAGACGTAAAAATTCCCGTTTTTGATAAGTTTTTCTTGTACTATGAAACGAAACTATCATAGGTACAGAATTTTCGTTTCAGTAGAACTTTACCGAAACATTTTGAGGTTCAAATTGTGAGCTTCACTTACATCAGATAATTTGAAATAATTATACATTTACTTATGCTGATTTCCATGACAACTGTAGGGCTTGGCCAATAATTTTGTATTCCTTATAATATCTCTGCTTAACTGAATCAATTGGGAGAAGTCTAGCTATATATGCTCTTATTTATTTTAGCCTAGACCTCAAACTTTATGCATTGTGCAAGTTGAAGATTATTTACTTTGTACCCAAATGCAAGCCTGCATGATGTTTTTAATCCTTTATGCATGGATTAATTATATTTTTCACAGTGGTTGAGTTGAGATGCGCAGTTCAATGTTATGCCTGGGGTAAGATTGGCCTTAATAGTGCAGTTGCCCAGCTTGCTCAACATAGTCCACCATTTAAGCTTGAAGAGGACAAGCCCTATTCTGAGGTATTATTAGTAACAGCAACTGGGCTGATATCTTTCTTTCATTATTCCAATTAATTTACCTATAGGTAGCTAAATAAAATACAATTTAGTTAGCAAATTTGAAGGGTGAATTTGTTCTGCAAAGTACAAAGTCATGTTTTCAGTCCACACATTTAATTGTCTGTGAAGGTGCGGTGTGGTGTGGTGGCATCATGGTTAGTGCGCTGGACTTGGGATCAATAAGCGATAAGCGCTGGCCTGACGGGCCACTTGGCTTTTATACAGACTTTACTATTTAATTGTCTTCACCATCTTAAAAGATTTTATCAACTACTCAGAAAAATATTTGCTAGGAGTGGATGTCCACTTTTTATTGTATCTTATTCCAAAATCAAGCTCTTGTTTTGTTTTCGTCTTGTTTTCTTGTTTTCTTCTTATGTTCAGTCTCCTGGATAGTTGATTTTGTTATAAAAGTTATTTCAATCTATCTTCAACAGTTTTGGATGGGAACACATCCAAATGGACCATCAACAGTGCTAGGTGGAGAAAAGGAGACGTTTTTGTCTGACTGGATTGATGCAAACTTAGATGTTCTAGGACCCACTGTAAAAGAGACCTTTGATGGCAAACTTCCATTCCTGTTCAAAGTGTTATCAGTCAACAAGGCGTTATCAATTCAAGCACATCCAAACAAATCTCATGCAACTGTGCTTCATAAAGAGAGACCTGAAATATACAAAGATCCTAACCATAAACCAGAGATGGCCATTGGTAAGAATCATAGTAATAGACCATTCTACAGTGCTGGCCTTTGAATGGCAGCAAGGCTGGAGCTGACCTTGTTTTGATAAAGACCACTCAGCTTTTGTTGTGTAAATCACATTCTTCTAAATGCCAACTAGTTTACATTTATAACAAATAACAGAGCTTGACATTGCAACTGCTGGGGTCACCAATGCGACCAAATTTTTTGCACCAGCGACTAACTTTTTACGCTTTTCACTAAAATACTTCTGCTAGCAACTAAATCTGAAAATTAGAAGCCAGCTGGCCCCAAGGTTTTTCCTGAAGTCAAACCCTGAACAAGAACAGCAGATTGAGAGGTTTGTATCAAGCAACGTCACTTCCAGCCTGGCTTGCATTCATCGGCCAGGTAACTGAACACTGTAACATCTGTAAAGAGGCGTGTTACAGTTTCGGTAATCAAGGTACCTGACCATGTAGCTACTCTTTAGAGCTTATTATCGAAATTTCATGGTCTATCTTGATAAGCATCAGACAGCAGTTTAGCGTACTTGTCTAATAATTCATTTTCTTTTAATTCAAAACAGCTTTGACACCATTTGAAGGCCTTTGTGGTTTTCGACCACTGACTGAAATCCAGAAATTTGTAAATACAGTTCCAGAATTTGCTGAAGTCATTGGACAAGATGCTGCCAATGCCCTTGCAAGTGGTTCAGGTTTGTGGAAGCTTGTTTTGTTTTACAATGGGGACCACAGGAAAACTTTAAGTCAAAGGATTTTTTGAGACGTTAGTCTCACATGCTGTTGGAAAATTAGCACTAGACAGTTGCTATCATGTACTCTACCAATGGAAGTACAGCTAAACCTCCGCACAACAGCCGCCTTTGGGACAGAGAAAAGTGGCCATTTAATACAGAGGTGACCATTACAGGGAGGTAGGGATGTAACATGACAACCTGTTTTTTCACGTAAACTGCTTATTGTAGCATATAAATACACAACACAATCAAATTATGTCAATTAAACAGAAACCAAATAGAAACAGAGACCGACAACATGTGGAATAGATCAAATTTTGTGACATTTTACAATAAAAATAGGTTTTTTTATACACCATTCACCAGCCAGCTGTGATTAACTGGCTGTTGTCAAGTGGTTATTTTAGCAATTGGAATGCGCTTTAAAGGCCATTGCCATTGTGGAGAGGAGGCCATTGTAGAGAGGTTAAGATAAGTGAATGTCCACTGGGACATAAAAAAGTGGCCGTTTTAGAGAGGTGGCTGTCATAGAGAGGTGGCCGTTAGTGGAGGTTCAACTTTAAACAGGTTGTCTTATGATCATTTTCTCAATTGTTTTTTGACAGATTCCCTAGCCCTGAAGAAAGCTTTCGCAGCTCTCATGACAAGCAACCCAGATATTGTCTCTCAACAGCTTAATCAACTCTTGGAGAGACTTAGAGAGAAGAAATCTTCGGGTCATGACATCTCTGATCAGTGCGGAGACTTAGTCTTGAGATTGAACAGCCAATTCCCAGGAGATGTTGGTTGTTTTTGTATTTATTTTCTAAATCATATTGTCCTTCAACCTGGTGAAGCAATGTTTCTGGGTCCAAATCTGCCCCATGCATACCTGGCAGGAGGTAATGAATGTTACAAGTTAAAAATTACTTAGTTTTAATTTCCTAGTTAATGCAGGTTATTATTTTGGTAACACACAAAAGATAATTCCATAACATCTGCGATCAAGGCTTGAATCCTTAATGCAAATAATTTAGATCCCTGACACCTGTTTACAAGGCTACATACTCGTGAAGCCTCAAGCAGGATCATCACATCTTTGTTTATTACTTTGTGTAATCGTTGGGCCTAATATTAGTCATACCTTTCCTTGACCCTATCAGTCCATCTGTATATTACTACGATTATCAGTTGAATAAAGCGCAACAAAAGTTTGGTCACCAGGTTTTAACATGAAAATTTTGTTGTTGCCACAGGGAACTGGCTCTGTTTCTGGTGGAAACTTGTCAGTCTTTGACGTCATTGGCAACAAAGTACACGAAATTGTAGGCGATGTGACAGGCAATGTTACTAATGGCAATGAGGAAAGTTGCCCGTGACAACGCTAATTTTAAGTTTAAAACTTTGTGACAAAACTCACATGGTGCCTTACTCAACTGATAATCGTAGTACATTGTTGTTACATTTATTCATGACTTTAAAATAACTATTGCTGTGGACTTTCAATTTCCCTTGTGATTGTCTCTGGTCCCTGCATATTCTTCACATCTGGCTTTTGAGCATTGTGGACTTTTTCCCCTCCAATCTTGGCTTTTGCAGCCCAACTGGTGAGCAAGTTTACCACTAACAGCTGCAAGAAATTACTATTTTATGCAATTTTATTATTTTGTTAACTAGATCTTTAGATTTATTGTATTTGTATACTTTTTTTAACTTTTTTAGACTTAACCATTTTTAGCTACTGTATTCTATAATTTTTACTCAGGATCAGTCTGAGCAGTCTTATTATTATTATAAGTACTTGTTTAGTAATATAAAGTCCCCATTCTCTTCCGCATGTCAATATTCATTTACTGAATTTTCAGATTGCATGGAATGTATGGCATGTAGTGACAATGTTGTCCGGGCTGGACTGACACCAAAATTTAAAGATGTGGAGACCCTCTGTGAAATGTTGGATTACAAGTGCGGCACTAAAGAGGAAAACATATTTCCTTGTCACCCTGACCCAAGTGATCCATACGTCACAATTTATGATCCCCCTGTACTGGACTTTGCTGTTGCTAGAATTCAGGTAAGTTGACAGCAGTATCCAAAATTATCTGTGTCATGAACTTTCTGCTGTAAAGTATTTAGCCCTTTCCTTCCCTCTTTACTAAGATCACTTCCTCCAAGTACACGTAAGTATGACTTTTGAGTTAAGTCAAGCACTTGTGCCAGAAAACTTTAGTATTCCACTATCACCTAAATTAGACCAGTTTGATGCATACTAGTTACATGCAATGCGACAGGTGATGCACAGCTGTTGATATTGTTACCAGTGGCAATGAGGAAAGTTGCCCGTGACAACAATGTAATTTTAAGGCCAAAACTTCGTCACCAAACTTACATTGTACATTGTACAAGAGCAAATAAAGGAATATGTAATGCTTTTAAGTGGTATACCATGAGAGAGCATTGCTGAACTATTTCATACCTTACCATAGAAAATACAGTGGCCAACACAATCAGAGAGACATAAGTGTGGCGCATGATGGGAAGGTTGGATGCAATACCCTTGACTATACAATGGCTTTCCTGTATTCTGATTGGTAGTATTTTCTATAGCATGGTGTCAATGAGCAGAGGGCACCTAATATACTGCTATAACCACAAATGGGAATGTTTTTCTCTTGGATTTGGACATAACAAAATAATTACAACTCTGAAGATTTTCTCTTAACTTTATGTTTTGTTTCAAAATAGATTTTATTACTCGTCCCCATATCCCCAGCCGTCAAAGTTATAGATGCCATCTTTCCCTTCCAAGCATTGGAAATTAAGTAGCTTCTTAAAATTGACTTAACTTTCTGTGTTGTTTTCAGATTCCCACAAGCTGTCCACTATATAAGTTTCAAGCATTAAATGGACCAAGCATAGCCTTGTTGATATCTGGTTCTGGTTGTATAGAAAACACTGCAAACACTATTCCTGCAACACGAGGAACTGTGCTATTTATTCCAGCAAACACAAGTTTTGATTTCAAATGTAATGGCCAAGACACTGAAATCTATCGAGCTTTCTGTGTAGTGTGAGCTCTCACAAACAATAATCTATCTGCCATGGAAACTACACACTGGTAATAAGCTAACCAAAGGGTTTTTCCATTTTTTATTTTTGTTTTAATAATTTTTTAAAGTTATGTTTAAATGGTATCAACTTGAAACCTGTGCATTATAAATTAACTTATTACCTTCTCAGTGTAGGGGGACCAAGAAAGCTACATAAAATCTTGTAAACTTAACTTAACAAAATAATTAATAATAATTCTTTTTTCAATTTAGAAACCTTCAAAAAGGTCATCATTTAGGATTTCCCACTGTTTGAGAAAAGAGCTAGATATATATATATATTGATATTCAAATTATTTTAGATAACTTTAAATAGTGTATTGTTGGCGCAATAAATTTAATAAAAGGCAGGAAGTACAAGGATCAACTTACATTTAATTATATTTTCTCACCTCGCACTAGTTTTTGTGCATACGTAATAATATTATGTATGTAATAATTATTTTCTGGTTATTAATTACTTGCTGAGGGTTCATGTCCTAAATACAAAATATTTTGTATTCCAACAACTGGATTTTCTGGCTACGTTTTCACAATATACAATGCTTTCGCGTAGTATATACCACGGAATATCCCATGAGTCACTTGTATTTTCTTGGTATGCAAACCAGCCTTTCAGTTGCAGGGTCAGAGCAGCTGTTCATCATTGATACATGTCCAAAATGAATTGACCGTGAAGGCCTGGGAGAAAGCCACAGGGGGACAAGGCAAATACAAGGTCCTGGGGTAGATGCAAAAAGCATTTTTAAAAACTGAAGAGGACCTGCTAGAGGTTTTCAGGATATGGTGGGAGATTTAGGTAAAAAAAAATAACACAATACAGGATATTTGGGTAAAAATTAATAAATATGGGATATTTCGATCAGATAAAATGAAATATGAAGTAGGAAAATTGGTAATTTTTACAACTGGAGTTGATGGGATTTGGGATGAGGGTATTTAGCATCGTTTGTAAGTTGATTTAAATACGCTTCGAGCCATTTTGGGCATTTTCTGTCGTTTTTCGAATTAAACTCACGAAATAATGCTTGTTTGAAATCATGACGTAATTACCAGATGATTTAGGGTCATATGTTGGTATAAAAGGAAAATTTTTTGGACGAACTACATACACGGGCGGAGTAGATTCCGCTCCGTACCTACCCCCCCCCCCCCCCCCCCCCCCCACCCCTAGTAATGGGGCCTCTCTGAATAAAAAAACTTCTAGCACTCAGTCTCCCCACAACTTTTGCATTAACTGTTTCTCAAAACTGGTTATGAAACAGTAATAAGAAGAGAAAAATCATCTTGTAACATTTTGCAAACGAGTTCTGTAGCTGTAGTACTGAAGCCAACTGTGGCGTGAAGGCCATCACGATTCTCACCCTTCCCCAACCCCTTCCGGGATCCTTCCCCAGGTTTCCTGCAAATGTAAAAACTAGCCAATCAGATACGCCAACGTACGCGCGTGCTTGGGGCATTGATCCGCAATTATCTGTCCAAGAACACTCTCAAACTGAAGAATTAATACCCCGTCATCCTTCTAAAAGCTTGACACAATAATTTTTACGACCAAACGGAAGTCAAAGAAAAATTATTTGAGGGAAATCTGTACGTCTGTGTTCTGGTCTGTGCTGGAAGAAAGAAAAGCTGTGTTTATTCATCTGGCGTATCACATGATGAATGAGCACCAATCAAACAGCGCGATGGAAAAGTCTTACGTCACATGCTGTGAGGTTCGCTTCGTCTTCCTCTACAATTTAGCATTGTTGTGGTTCGGTTGTAACAGATTTTGAAGCAGTTTTACAGCGATCAAGAAGTCTTCCAAAAATGCCAGCCAAGCAACGAATGCGTGTTGCCAACGAAAAACACAGCCAGAACGTTACGACGAGAGGAAATGTCCCCAAATCACTGGTGAGTAGTATTTCAAACTCGCGAAGGAAAACCTCATACGCCATGAAAGACGAAACTCATTCGAAACTTGAAACTTTGACAGTAACGTTTAAATGTTGGTCTTCCCGTCTATTTCAGAGACCACAAGAGGAAAAATATCCTGTTGGACCTATTCTTCTTGGATTATTCATTTTCGTCGTCTGTGGGTCCGGTGAGTTAATCGTAATCTTTGCAATGTATAACTTCATGCGTCTTTCTTTCGTCTTTCGAAGTGCGTCGCTCGAAAACCGGAATAGTATCCGAGAGATTGCGTGTTTGTGGCGCTTATTTTAAAATTAAACGCCTTTTTCTTTTCTCCTACAGCAATATTTCAGATCATCCAGAGTATTAGGATGGGATAACCTGAATTTGAAGAAATTTTGGACCAGAAAGGACTGTATTTTACTGAACGGGTGCTTACATGTTTGCGAGGAAATCAGATCAGCTTAAAATATTGAACTCTACTGAATACTTTCAAACGTTTAACTTTTCTCGAAACTGTATTAAATAGTAGTTTATAGAGTAAGCGAGACGTATGCTACATATTTCGACGATTTTGTATTAACCTTTGACTTTTCTTGTCAACTTCCCCTAGCTTTCTTTCATCATCGATGGTTCTTTTTCCATGGTCCACGTAACTTAAATTTCGTAGTATTTTTCTTAGCATGCCGGGAACAAAATCAATGAAAGTAAATCCACGGCTATTATCGAATTTATCTGTAAATCTATGGAGAGCTACCTGAGATCTCTTTAAAATGTATTCACAGAGCTATTTTATGTGAATAAATTGGAATATTTAAGTAGAAAAGTGTGTTTCTTTTCGAGTTTTCTTTTATAGAAAATGAAGGCTAGATTTGGTGACATGTAGGTTCATGCCAGCTAGCTTGAGTCCTGAAAAATGAAATGATCGAATTATCAAGACTACATGTGGCCTGTGCTGCAGAGAGATGAAGTTCATCCTTCTCTACAGAAGAATGATACCGGTTTTGCCCCATGGTGAGTTCACCCCCACCGAGTTCACCCCCACTATAAAATTTCTATTTCGAGTTCGCCCCCAACTTTTAGTGTTGGTGTTTACACAGTTGTCATCGAGTTATTGAATGTTTTCGAAGAACCACTTCAGTCTATGTATGTTTGATAAGCTTAGATGATTGTTCGCTTGTTCGCGAGCACAGTGCAACAAAGTCCAACGGTTACTGGTCATCTCGCCACGAAGGAGTCTCGCCATCAATGAACTCTCCACCAAGGGAAGTCACCTCGCCACCAAGCAAAGTTTCCTCGCCACCAGTAATCTAATGAGGCAGTGGATAAAAGAACGAAGAGTAATTTCTATATGCAACTCGATCTGGTTGGGGGCGAACTCGATTGAGTTGAGTCGATGTGAGGGCGAACTCGCCATGGGGCGAAACCGGCAGCTACCCTACTGAACACCACTGCCATTAAGCTAATTGGAAATGTTGCCATGATACACACACAGACAGTACCTTACTTGCCTTGGCTACTTTAAATCCCCACTTCACTTTGGCACTCATTACCTTAGCAGGGACCTTGCTTGCTTGCCTGATTGGTCAGGGCCCTAAAATGAAAAGCCCCTCATCTTTTTGGTCTGGATTGGGTGAATGGCTGATTGTCCATTCTTGTGAAAAGTAATATATTTGATACAGTGAAAAGACATCAATCCCACTTTTTCATACCTCCAAGGAAAATCAGAATTTGTTTGAAAATCGGGTAGTTTGAGAAATTGGGAGTAAAACTACAGTGTCTGACGGGGGAAGGAAACAACTTTTGGTTCAAGTTATTGGGAGGTTCACTAAACATGAGGTTTCAAGAAATCAGGACTCCATTGTACCTCAAGGCATTATGAGTCATGGTCACAAGTGCACTTACAGAACATTGAATTAAAATCTGTCAACCAGTCATCAGGGTCCAAGAAAGTACCACAAACAGTATCTCTTTGGCATTGTGGTTAGCTTAAGCTAGGATGAGGGGCAAGTGAGTGGAAATCAGGCTAAGTCTGTAAATAACTAAGATCAATGACAAATGGTGGCAGTTGTAAACCTACCCAAGGCTGTACTGGTAGCCAGTCGATTACTAACTTGCCAGTTTTTGATTAGCAAGCAGTGAGCAGAAAAAGCATGATATGAGCAAATCTATCTTGCTACGTAATTGAAAGAACAAATTACTAGTAATGTACGGCAGTGACAAGCTTAATGGCAGCTAGGAAGTCAAATAGGACAAATAATTGTTCTTCCCTTGGTGTGTCGCCTTCAAGGTTCATTTCCATGGTAAGCATCATTATTTCTCAGTTGAATTCCATCAAGCATGGGACATATTGAGCCTGATTGGTCCAGCTTTCTCAATCTACCACCCTTTTAATTTACTGAGTCTTTCTTTACTTTTGTCAACTGTTTTTAGTTTTCTTTAATAAATTTAAGGTGATCTTGTGATTAAAAATTATACCAATTTGACATAGCCCAAAAGGAAGGATATCTAATTGCTGGCTCATTGCTGAATGAATCACCGCATTCACCCTCCAGAAGACTTAATTTTAAGAGAACTTTCAGTCAAATTACCAGAGGCCAATTTGCTTTTACAATCACCATGAAAAGTTCTAGTAAGATAAATTTATACAAAATTCAGTTGTTGGAGTTGATACAAGATATCTTGCTATTTCCTCCCCCTGTTAATGCCTTAGTTTAAAATAAGTTTCAGACAAATTAAGTCAGTGAAAAAATCCTAGAAAAAAGATGTACAGCACTGGTCATAGCTGAATTGTGCTAGAACAGTAAAAAAAAAAAATAAAAAAGGAAGTTCTATCTTCTTGCTGTTTGCTCTTTTGATGTATCCTATCCCTTCATTTTCCCTCATCTGCAAGTCTAGAAAAAGTTAGCCTGCTAGCTGGATCTCGTGTTTGGGCTAGAGGAATCCAAGGAAGAAAGTTATAAATTACTACAAATCAACATACCATTACCAAACTGTACAAGACAAGCTAGAACATGATCTTACATTGAGCCACCGTATGAATGACATACATGTACAGTCTGTGTTTGGAAGGATCTATTCCTGTTGTTTTAAGTTGGCATGTTCGGAGGGATTAAGTTGTTACAAATTTCTTGTCAATACCCCAATATTACCATTAATTTCGCACATTGAAAATTGCAGATGCAGATTTCCCTCCGGTTATAAGCCCAGCCATCTTGAAAGGCAAAGTTTCCTTCTATAAGCCCCTCCAAATACAAACCTCCTTTACCCTGGGTTGAATCACCGTACAGAACGCTAAAAATAAACACTTTACACCAAACTGGGTTGTCAGTCTGCAATAGCGTGTGGTTTGCTTCGAGCGTGACCTGAGCCAGCCTTTCTACCAATCAAAAATTGAAAACATGGGCTAGAAAGATGAAAAAAAAACCTAGAAAGTATAATGGAATGGTGGGAGGTCCTGATGTACAAACCACACACAAAAAAAAAAACATGGTTATTTGACTGAAAGTACCAACCCGGCTTAGCTTTTGGCCCACTGTTTACATGTAAGAATTGAAGAAATTTCAACCCTTCTCACTGGGTCAACCCGAGTCTCCACAAGGGTTATGCAGCAAGGGGGCCTGACCTGGCTTGACTACTGTTTTCAACTTAACGCTTATAAACATTTCACTGCAAAAGGGTTACCTGCCGCGGTGTTTCAACCTGGGGTAAAAAGCAACCTCGGGGTCATGTAAAGAGGGCCTAAGACATTCAAAAAGCTCCTTTAAAAAAAAAGATAGTACCTGGGGCTTATTTTTTTAATTTTATGGTAGCTCAGTTGGCCAACATAGCATTTTGGTTAGCCTAAATGGCACTGCAGGTTAGCCTCAATAGCACTTCAGTCAAGTCTAAAAAACTGCCCAGCTTAACTCTTGGTAACAAGTAGCTATAAACAATGGTAATCACTATTCTTAGTTTGTCCATAATCCCAGGGGAGAGGGTAATGGCCCGACAGATGCTACCATTTCCACAAGAATACTGTCTTGGAAAAAATTATTGACTCATTAACTCGCAACTCACTTTACTTATAAATACTTTGGCCTCCTTGAAAATATGCCATCTTTCAGATGAGAGGCTAGCTGAAATTCAGCTTACATGAAGTGGAGTTGTTTTGCTCTTTGCTTGCAAGGAAGATTGGACTTGCCGAAAGATCTTTCAAAAAAACCTTTCCAAAATGGCAACAGTCAAATGAAAGTAAAGAAACATGAAAACGCAAATATGGGAACAAATGTTTAACTTGCTAACACCTTGCCTTGGAATCAGCCTTTATTGTTACTAACTGAAGTTATACCTTGAGTAAAGGAAGATGGCCAAAATGCCATGAAATTCAAGACCAATCAAATTTCGAAACAGAAGTCTAGGGAAACACTTGAAGAACTAAAAGGCTAACCTACATAAGTCATTTGACAACTTAAACATTTTCAATCAAAATAAATACAAATGTGTATTAAGGCAGCTGTTTACCTGCCCCGTGTATAGGTTAAATCAGCTCATCACAAAATAATTACCCTTCATTGTGTTTGTATAAAGGCGAATACTCTCAATTTGTTTTATACAAAGAAAAATAAATCTATCTTGATCTGACATTCACCAAAAGCATGTTACCAGTAACCCTGCCATCTTGTTCTACAATGCACCCATGGCCAAGAATGGTACAGTGTTATTAGTCATGGCCAAGCCCTTACAACTTGAAGAAATAGAAACTCCTGTCTCACTCTTCAGCCCATTAATAGTCGAGCTTATGCTTGATAGATCCTTGCTGTTATACAATGAAAATTCTGAAAATTTAACACAATTTTCACCAAAACATCTTTTAGGGGTGAAGAATGGTATATGAAGTTGTAAATTTAACATCCAAAATGTCGATAGAGTCAAAAAAGCTTGAATCTCTTTCTGTCTGGAAGTTCATTCAAAATTTAAATTATATAAATCAAAATAACAACTGGCACATGTCTCGCAACACTTAATTTCACATAGATGTTTTCATAGTCCTCTATGCTTGTACTCTTGTTCCAAGCTTCTATAAAAAACTTTTCAATCCTCTGAAAGTAACCCACTCAACACCCCTTAAATGTAATTATGTTCTTAAACAATTTATGGGCAAGAAGAATGAAGTACTAGTTTTAGCTCTTTTTGAGATTCTTCAAGTTGATACTGCATAAAATGGTTTCATTTGTAGTTTGCTTAAGCACTGAAGGTTGCAGTTACAGGCCACAGAACCCAAAATAACCATAGTCAAGATAATGGCATTTTGAACACTATTGTTTCCTTGCTTTTCAAGAAGCCTGGTATTAAAAATAATTAGTTTCAAGTTTTGCTTTCAATTATTTATCTGTAATGCATAATATTCCTATTATGACAGGTCTTGACAAATCATAGTGCAATATTCCCATCATATTTCAAGGCCTTACACCTTGGTTTTAAACTTCAGTTCAAAGATAATTTATTCCAGCAATAATCTCTTTAGTATTTACTCAGGAAAAATAAGTTGAAGTGAATTCAAGCTAACAGAGTCAGTTTGATTCTTGCATATAACTTTTCTTCATCACCACAAGGCCACAAAACTATGGATCAGATAAGGAACACTGGCAACTTGAGCGACTCAGAGTACTTGTCTGATGGTGATCAAAATGAGTTTTTTGATAAACTTCCATCTTACACTCTGAGTAAGACTGGGGAATTTCATGCATCAATGCCTGCCATGTTGCTTGACATCTCTTAAGAACCATAACCTGCAGCAATCTTGCCATGTTGCTGCACATCTCTAAAGAACCATAAACTGCAGAATTCTTCCACCTGTTTAAACTTGACTTGTCACAAGCAAATCCTCCAGTGACGACAGTCAAAATTATTAACAAGACTGCTGATCTCCTGATTGAAGTTACAACTTCACTGAAGTTTCATTGAACACTACAAGGACATTCATCCTCTGTGATTTTTTTTCAAGTCTCTGTTGTCTTAGACAGGCTCGATGGTCACTTGAGTAGGTCACTGTTATGTCGATGTCGAGCTTCTGAATTCAACCAAATTCCGTAATTTCTCATTTTCTAGCTTCAGTTCTAGATTCTCCTCTGTGAGTTTAGAAATTGTTTCTTTTAATGTCTGAACTTCTTTATTCACAACACTTAGGAGGTCTGACTTAATTTGTGTAATTTGTTCCTGCAAAGAAAAGGAAAAAATATAAGTGACTATTTATACATGCAAAGCAGAAATATTATGCTCAGACCAGTGTGTATTCTTATGTGCATAGTATTCTATGCACGGAAGTTAAAGAAATGAGACAACAGGTAAATGCACAGAAATAAAACCTTTTTGGGGTTTGCTTGCCTTACTCTCATAACTGGTCAAGCATTCATCCAAATAACAAATTTCAAATTTCAAACTTGTTTCAATATTCCTATTCTGATACAGTCAAACTCAAAAAACCAAAACACCAAAAATATCTCTGGAATGTTTATTGTTTTCTAACCGATTAGGGGGGAGATTTTGAACCACAGAAACCAAAGAAAACAAATGAGTTTCAATCAATCAGAGAACAATTTTGTTTTGTTTCAAAAGGTCTCAAAATAAATCCTCTAAATTGGTTAGACAAGAAATTTGAAAATTGCCGTTCCAGCCTACTTAAACAATAGCGAAGATGATTTGGGATATTTTTAACTTGAAAAAATGATTTTCACATACCAATGCAATGTGCCGGCGCAACGCAACTGTTCAACTGGCAGGGGCGACCGTTGAATCAATCAAGTGTGAATGATCCAAATCAGTGCTTTCATATTAAGAAGGGCTGTTATTTGGAGGGGAATATTGATGAAAATGAAAGTCTACCATTAACTATGCAAATTTAGAGTAAATTTATTTGGGAAGGAACAGCAAAAAATTGAGGTGCTTACTGTTAGCTACAACTAATTCCAAAATTCACAAACATTTGAATTTATTGTCTTCAATCTTTCCAGGGACTTTAGATCACTGAATCCCTAGGCCCAAGCAAGGGATTGTGATTGTTTACTAAAATAAATCTAGTTGCTAGTTTAACCAAAGATGATACCAAGGTTAGTGCAACCCAAAAACTTTTAATCATCCCCATTTATAGCCCTGTCAAATCAATCGTCACTTCACTTGAGTGACGGTATGAGTCAGCAGGATTCCTGTTTTCCAAAAGCCCACTCACTATTAGTTCTGGGTGTGGCTCTCAATGCTAAAGAAGCACAATACCTTAGACTTTCAGTAATATATAAAGACAGAGGGTGCATCTTAGGACAAAACAAAAACCAAAAACTAAATTCATAGTTCCATGACCGATAGAATACATCCCTTTTCTGTGGTTTGAATATCTTGCTTGATATTGGTTACAATACAATAAACTTCCAGCCAAATTTTAGGTGTTCACAGTTTTGTCAGTTCGACTGTAATTCCAAACTGAAGTTTTGAGCTGATTAATGTCTGGCTTACATGTAATTCGACAAGCATGTAACAATGTGTTGAATAATTGGAATAAAATGGCAAAAACTCAGCCAAAAAAAGTTGTCTTTTTCTGCCACTGACCTTAACAAGCCTCCTTAGTAAGCCAAAATGTCTTGCATCATATTTTGTTATTGTAGAAGAGTCAAGAAAAGTTAATGGTTAATAGACTGATGAGAAAACTCCAGCTGTGGGCGAAGTTGATATTTGCAGCCTAAATTATGCAAAACCTAGTTAAGGTTTTTCATTCAGTTACAGCATGTACTCAGACATGTAAATCCAACCAAAATTTGAGTTTTGATGAATTTGTGGTTTGAATATTGAACCATTCATTTCTAGAATAGACTACTACAACAAAGGATGAAATCAACCTTCTAATAATGGATTCATTACTTTCATATTAGGAAGAATGCTGGACTGGCTTTGATTTCAAAGCAAATTTAAAATTTAACCTAGATAGTTGCAAGATGTGTCCAATAAAGGTACTAGGCAAGATTTGAAGGTTAATGAGTTAGTCATGACCAGTTTGCTTGTTAAAGAAGAGTGTGCAAATTGGGGAGCTAATTTATGCACGAGCCATGTTCCCAAATACCAACATGGGCCACAGTACATTATCCATGGAAAGCCTAGAAGGCATGAGAAACTCTACAAACATGTAAATACAACTCTCGATAACTTCAGTTTAAGCTATTTATAAAGTTTATTAACAGTAAAAACATTGGTTTTGTTTTAAAGACCATGTTCACCCAAACTGATGTAAAATTCGCACAGTTATTTACCTTGGTTATTTATAGCGATTTTGAGACATGCATATTGGCATCAAATTTCTTATTTCTGATATTTCCAACACAGTAAGTAAAAAAAGACAGAGCTTCGTACACAAAGCAGTTATGTTGATGGGAGAAGTAAAGTCCTAGCACTCTGACTAGGAACCAGGCTAGAAAAAATAACAAGAGTTCCTGCAAAGGAAAATCATCTATTGAAATTTCTTGCAATCCATTATCAATAAATTCAGCCGAAATATTGTCAGTTTAAGTAATATCACAACGGTCAGTTTAACGCATGCCACACCAGAAAAATTACAATAAAATGAATTGTGACTTAACAGTAGAGTCAATCTTGGCCCTATGCTGTCATTATCATTCTTGTAATATTACAACACTTGGTTTGCACACCATATACATGTATACGTACATGATTGTACATCCAATAATGACATGTAAAGTAGATTTTGTCATTAAATAGCACATATTCACTCAAAATCTCCTGAACTATCACAAAATATAAGCGCATCTGAACATTCCTAAATTAGTTTATAAATGCTTTTTTGTGACATCTGAGACATATGCTACGTAGCTAGAGTACTGCCGCCCCTTCAAGACAATGTACATGTACATGGGCTGCATCAACATGAAATTCAAGCACAAAGAACATATTGAGACACAAGCAGACAAAACAACCTGGTTTGCAGAATCAACAACATTGACCAGGGTCCAAAATTGCGCTTTCCTGGTCGCCAATGCGACTAAAACTTTTGCACTGGCAACCAGAATTTCACAACTGGTCGCCAGRGGGCGATTAACTATTTCAAGCCACGATAATTACACAAACTTTGATTTTCAGCCAAATCGATTAAAATGAAATTCAAAGCCGCCCACCAATTAGTCACTTTTTACCTTTCCGCTGCTTTTGAAGTATAAAACCGATTTTCCTGACATTATAAATCTACCACAACGTTTCACAGCTACGATCAGTGCAAAGCTTCGCCGCCATGTTTTCTCAGCGGTTTCCCATAACATACGTATTGCGGGCGATTTGTTGTCCAAAGATGTTCTGAAATTTTTCTGTAATTTATTACAAAGTGCAGAGAGAACATCCGCAAAGAAATTAGTGCAAGATTTCGATATTCAACTTGGCGATCGGTCGATCGTCTTGACAGAACGCGAAAGGAAAGATCGTTTTGAACATAGAGCGAAAAGCCAAATGGCAGTTTTTCAGACGGGTACATTTCTTCTCTAAAACGTAGAGACAAAAGAAGGTATAAAGTTGACTTGAAACATTTGGCAGTTGCATGAAACTGCGTATATGGCCGGCATTCGATTCGTTCGTTCGTGGTTTTTCAGTGGTAGGTGTATAAAAAATCAGTGTGTTTGTATTTAATCTTATCGTTAGCGGAAAAATTGCCATCATTGCGGCCCCAAATGCGTTCTCTTTGTTCTGATTCTTAAAAGAAAAATTGGCGACCAGAATTTTCCCTCTGGTGACCAAAAGGTTTGGTTTGTGTTTCAATGCGAAGGAAAAATTTTATTGCTGGACAAACCAGTTTTTCACAGGGAAAAACACAAGAACCAAACCATTAGATTAATGTTCAAGTAATATTGCCAGTCTGCCTTTCTCCTGATTCCATAGTGACAATTTTGACACTGAAAGCAAAATTTGTGATCACAACTTCCCTAAGAGTGATCTTTTATTTATTTATTTATTTATTTATTTATTAAACTTCCCACAAGAACCATTCCAACAGTATTTAAGGCTGTAGAGTGCAGTGAGAACTATATATCAAAATCTCCACTACAAAAATGTAAGAAAATGGCTCCAATGACACATACCATTGCAGATGCAATTTTATTCACAATGGGCATCTCGGCCTCTCTGGCACCCGCACTGAAAGACAACAATTAACAAGTTGAAAACAAAACTTCAAATATGAGATTTAGTAAACTAATATACTGAACTATCAATAACTTTTATCACATTATTGAAGAAAAGTGATCAGCCATGCTCACATTATCCTTGGCCTTGAAGTGTCAAAAAACTAATGACAGCTTTCTTTGCATAATCATATGAGGAAGAACAATATTGCAAATACCAGAAGAAATAAATTTCTAACCCATTAACTTGAATAGGTCAAATTTGTCCTATATTTTTAAGGTTGTTTACATCCAGAGGTTAACATGAAATCTGGCTTTCTGGGCCCAATGTCGCTTGTGTTGAAGCAACACATTTGACTCAAAAACAGGTATTATTCATGGTCTTTAGGAGTTACATTAGCATGCTTAATGGAATGGCTTGACATGACCTGTTCAGCTATATGACTTTCCTTGAAAGTATGGAGGAAATTTTGATAAGTTTCTGATGAAAACCTGAGCAATTGCTGAAGACTAATAACTACATGTTTGACAACAAATGAAACATATGTTGCTGCTGAGATACAAGAGACAACAGTGAATAACTCTATTGAATTCCACAAGGAATAATTTTTGTTATTATCACCTTGTATCAAAACAACTTTAGCAGGTGTCAAAAAATGTAACACTTTAAACTATTTCTTGTCATACTACACAAGAAAAGTTTGGTTATATTGTGATTTCAAACTTTGTATGAACAAGAATGACCAAGGTCACCAGGCAATTCAGTGGATATTTACACAGCCTCCTTGACAAAAATAGAAACTGCTCTCCTTGGCAGGCAATCAAATAAACAAGTTTGCAATGTTTGTTTTGTTGCTCTAGCAGCAAAATCCTTCAAGGAAGATGGCCATTTTCATGTTTCCTTGTTCCTGAAAACATTTTCTATCAGTTAAGAACTAACCAAATCAAAAATGAGATAATGTATATATTGACAGAAAACATCATAATAGGAACAGAAGTATAATCATTTCCTCGTTACCCCCAAGACAGCAATAAAACTGCTTGCCTTGCAGACATTTTGGAGTATGTAGCTTTAAACCCATATCAGTAAGGAAAACATGTATTTCATCCAAGTACTGTAAGGACCAAGACCAGCCAATAATAGCTTGTAGATGACAGCAAAATGCAAGGTAGTATTTAAAACTTCTATTTCCCTATTTATAAATTTAATTGTAAAGAGAAAGCAATGGCCAATAAACTAGACATGCATTGAACCATTCAAGATGGAATTCCAGGACCAATAACATTTTGACACTGATATTGCACCTTAAAGCAGGTTTTCATATTTTCTAATATTGAAAAGCCAAGTCTGTGTTTACATATTGCAGCCAGAGGAAATAATTTATGCATTTTTTAGTCAAGCAATTCATTTATGGCTCATATTGCCTGTAAGTTGGAACTGATGTCAAACAAATTGCCTTGATCAACAATTGACACAATATACATTTTCCTGCCATTGGCTGAATAACAGGAAAAAATAGCACAGTCTCACTGATAGTAAAATTTTCATTAGTTTCATGCAAATAGTCTGCTTTAGTTTTGTCACATTCACAGCTTGAAAAATAAGCAAAGCATCTCAACAAAGCTTTCAGAAGATAATTCAAGAAAGTGAAATTCAAACAAAATGATAGCAAGTGCATATACCTAATGTTGGAAGATCAACCTACTTAAAACTGCACTGGGCAACTTTTAACATCAATCTAAAAATGTATGTTGAGCAATAAAATTTTTAATTACTCAGGCACTGAGTTTGTCTTTATTTTTAGGAAAATAGACGTTTCTGCCATGCTGTCAAAAATGAAAGAATTGGTAATTTCTACACCAGGGTGACACATTAAACATGCCTGATGAACCACTTAGTCCACGAAAATAACAAAATTAACCACCATGAGGTGATCTACAAATACTGTATACAATGTAGCTTTTTAAAGCCACAATGCACAGTAGTTTCTCTCAAAACAAGCAAGGCAAAGGAATATTTTTCTCTACACTACTGACTATGACGAGGACAAACATTCACATCTGAGCTCAAAGGGTAATGGCATTTTGCATTTTCAAAGACAAAACAGTCCATGTGCCTTCACGTAAGTAAAGGTGTGACAGGCATATCAAATTCTACATTAAAGCGAAAAGCTAGAAATTAAAATTACACGCCGCAGTAAAACCAGTGACAAAGCTGCAACAAACATTGAAGTAAACAAATATAAATACAGATAATAAGGTGAAAAAACTCTTGCAAGTTTGAATAATTCTAAAACATTTTCTCAATTCCAAGCACTCGAGGCTCTTTGTGAGTATTACAGGGCAACTGAATCATTTCATATTTCAGTGGCAATACAGAAAACAGGATCCATTTTATTTGAAAGTGCAAAACTATGAACCACAAATATTTTCAAAGCGGATGTCAACTGGTCTCTGTATAAAATTGGATCAGCTTAAACAGTTCCGATCAAAGAATTTGCCATATTCCAATCTCGTGTTCAGTGCCACATTCTTGAAGATGGAGTTTTCAGTCCGTCATAGAAAAACTCTACATCTGGAAGTTTTTGTTATGAAATGCAAGATAAAAAAGTTCAAAAATTCTCCCTGGTGTTCTGTTGTAGCTTCGAGGAATTTTTTCTACTAAGAATTTAGCAAATGAACCCTGATAACATATTACATCAGGGCAGTATTTATGCAGTAAAATCCTAAACTAAAGCTTCGTTCAACTCACGTGGAATAAAAAATGTAAACAACGAGAAGGCAAAATTACAAATCAATCGTATTTCAAACCACTTAGGAGGGTCGTTGTAGGTCACTTCATTTTAAAATACTCCATTGCTGCAACACTGTAGCGTTCCATCTTGATAATCAGCAGATCACGACGGTGAGCCAAATGATGCACTGCCTATGGTTGGCACTGAACAATATATAATGTTCAAACAAAGAAATCACGAACAAGAAAACCGCGAACAAATTACGAAGCTGTCTGGTTGTAGAAAAAGAACATCAATAAATCATGGAGTCTGGGAGAGTCAATAACTTTGGACGCTGTAATTTAGGACTTTTTGAAGGGAAAAGAGTGAGGGAATAACTTAAAGTTAAACCAAAGCTACCCAAGAGATATCTGAAAGCAATTAGCCGAAACCGCTTTCTTGTGAAGAAATCACTAGGGACATGAAATCAATTTACCAACCACGTTGTACACACACGTAGCTTGCTGTTCAAATTCGTCAGTTCACTTACCTAGCCGAGGCAACGATCGATTGCGCTCCCTCAAGCGATATTCTGTCCACATTATCAATAGCTGGCGAAATTCTAGCCACCGAAGAATCGTTCTGTTTCGCCAATTCGGCAGTAACACCCAATCTTGGCTCTGAATCCTTCTTTTTCACGGGCACAAATGCTTCCCCCGAAATAGGACTGTGTTCATTTGCTTGCGTTGAAGATTTCACAACAGAGCCATGCGTTTGGATCTCTGATGACGATTGTGTCTCCGTATCACTCGCTATGTGATTGCCAATAGAATTGCTTGTTATGCCAGTCTTTGCGTTCGAATGGGAGTCCGTTTTCTCCACGCTGTCTCTCGACTGATGAGTAGAAATACTAGTTGAACTTGATGTAGAAACACTGGTCGATGAGGATTGAGTCGATTCCGCATCTGGAAAATCGTGACATTTCCATCGTCCGCGTGCATAAGATTCATTTCTTTGAATTTTAACTACTTTGAACCTAGATGCACCATTGCCATTCGCAGTGGCTGGGTCGGGAACTGGTTCAAGCTCCACTTCTACTTCTTCCACTATATCGCTTTCGTTTAAGTCTAGTTCGCCATCGTATCCATTACTATCGCCACGATTATGAATTTTACTTTCGGTGACACTGGTAATTTGAAAAGAACTCTTTTTCTTTATAGGACCCGGGTTCGGTAAAGTAGCAATGCCACTTACTGTAAGAGTAGGCTGAACTGGAACTCCAGTTTGCAAGTTTGTAGCCGGAATAGCAAACTTTACTTGAGACGAGCGAACCGCCTCCTGGCCATGCGGAACGTTGGCCTGCTCGCGTCGTTGTTCGCTCATGTCATTGTCGACTCCTTCAGCCATGAATCAACTAACGACGCTGCAATAAAAGCAGGATATAGGCCAACAATGTGCCAATCCCCATGACAAAAATTACGGAGAATAAGCTCCCATTTTAGCCAAAAACAACCCACAAAGTCATGTCAAAAATGGCGACCCACCATCGTCCTAACGCCTCACAGCAACCTTCAGACATGACGTCCTATTCTGTGACCGAGGCAGCCAATCACAAAGCTTGTTGCCATATTTGGTCCAAGCTCACCGCGAAGGTTCAGGGAGCGCGGTTAGCGGTTTTCATCGATATCCAAGAATTCGTAACAGAACCACATTTGTGTATTTTATAAATTTCCCCAAAATAGGCTTCTGTATTGCCGAATAAATTACTCATCCTGACATCATTTATTCATTCATTTGTGACAACTATCAGCAAGCTGAATGTTTCGTCTACCGTTATGTAACAAGCGTATTTCTTTTTCTGTACAGTTTCCGTCCAAGCATGTATAACCTTATTTTTTCCGCGCCATATGTCTAAATTAACAACAGTGTCTCCGGATTTCATCCCTTCTTCACCGGTCACGAAATCCTACAAACGTTTCTTTTTTTTGTCTTTTTAATTTTTCTTCGATATTTGTCAACAAACTGTGACTTATTCATGGCAATATCTTTTGGTCAAAATCATAACAAGAAAATAATACCTCATTGATATTCACACTGGCAAGTTTTGAATTCTTTCGCCCTGGTTGGGTGTTTTGCATATTGAGTGAATTTACATCTCTCTAAAAAGCTGAAAATTGTATGAAATATTGACTTCGGGAATGACCAGTTCTTTGATAAGACCTTAATTCGCCAAGAGATTTTAACTTCTGAAGTGCATACAATATGACACAAAATATTCACAGCAAACTCAGGAAAAAAATAGCCATCGAAACAAGGCCATCAAAATATTTAGAGAAATATATAAGTCCTAAAATAACGATATTGTCATCAATTATTTCAGTCGTTGTGGTTATTAATTGGATAATCTGAATCGCAAATGAAAGAGGTTTTTCCGAATCGTTAATCATGACAAATGAAAGGCATCATTCCAATATATTCAGGAATATAATCGGGGGCGTCGGCAAAGAATCACGCGAGCCAGAAATTGCCGATAAATTTTTCAAATAATTAAAAAAAAAACAGCTGAATTTCCTGCTGCGGAGTATTATAATTTGTAGATCCAATTTCACTATCTACCGATTCTGATTCCAATTGCTTACAAAATATGTTCTCAATAGCCAACGCTTTCATATCAGTTTCGTACCTCTCGGTATATTTCTTTTTCTCTTTCGATGAAATTTACCGTTATAAATAAACTCGAAACTCCATGTTTAATCAGAACACCTCGATGCATAATCAAGTGGAAAGGTCATGAGATCTGAAGAAATGATCACTATAGAAATTGGTCAAAATAAAAAAAAATCTCTTAACTTGCAATTGTAATTTCAAGGAATATTTTGAGTTCAAGGTGACTTTGGATGTTTTTTTTTTAGACGCAGGCGTTTCGCTTGTGGTTGCTGAGTGGAAAATTTGTGTTATCGAAGACTTGCAAGCAGCTATTTGGAACCAAATGTTATAAAATACGGTTGTGGTATCTACTAATGTCAGATGTCAGTATTTGAAATTTGATTAGCTAGCCACAGTTGCGGATCCAGACCTTGAGCTAAGCAAGGGGGTGTTAAAAACAAATTACAAAAAACAACAACTCTAGACAGAATTTAAGGTTTTATAAGGAACATTCTATTTTTCATTAAACCCTTAAGCTTTCCCTCGTCGTCTCCGAGCTTAGACGCTAGCGCGAAACAATAAAAGTCACACGCGCGAGCGGCAAAGACCGAAGCGATCCGGCGGGGGTGGAGTCTGGAGAAGGGGCGTCAACAAAGTCACTTTCTAGTCTCGCAGCTTCGCCGCACGATTTCGCGTTTGTGCTTGTGCTCCAACGTGAGCCCGTTCGCAGGTTAGTTTAACATAAGCTCAGAAGTCTAGTCAAACATTGTGGCATTCTGCTAGGGTGGTGTTTTTTTTCTTTTTTTGGCAGAAACATGAAACACTTCTTTACCCGTACAGTTCATTATTTCAGAGGATATAATGGCCCCCACAGTAGCCAGGTACAATTTCATTTTTTTGAAGTCTTACGAGACTGCCAAAATTCCGTTAGTTCGGGTCAGAAATACGGGATTCGTAGAAACATTTGGACGAATTCCAAATTTTCTACCTTTTCCTCGAGGAGAACAAAAAGCGATTATCTCCAAACGCGCCGATTGTTTATCTTCAACAAGGATGTAGATAATGCATAATGAAGTGTGAGAATCTTGGCTGTGTTACAGGCGGAAGTAACAGTCTAGCCAATTAGAGCTTCAAAACTTGGCTTTTTCTCAGCTTAGTTTAAGCAGTGAAAAGGCGCAGCCGTTTCAACTGTCGGTTCTGGACAGTTAAGACCGAAGGTTTTTTAAGTTAGGTTCTGGAATGAGTCTAGAAAGTCTCCGGAAACAAAATGTTTTTTCAATCGTTTCTGTGACCAGGCCTCAACACGGCTAAGCTTTCTCCCTATAGGTACGGACTCCTTCCCTCGCGAGGTCGCGAGGCTTGGGGACGAAATTAAATTCGCATATACAGTACTTATCAAAGTTCTATCTTTTTATCAGTGTTTCAAGCAGGTACAGAGTCGCAAAATTTGTAAGCTGGTTGGATCTCATTATCGGCCGTTAAACGTATATTGACAGAGCGATGTCTCTGGGTAATGCGCGCAGATAAGATGAAAATTAAATAGATAAGGTAATCTTTAGTTAATCACAGTAAAATTTGTCAGCTTTAAATTAAAAAAAAAACAATTTATAAATGACTAATCTGAACCTAATCTGCATGTGTAGATGATAACTTTCAACTTCGGAGCTTAGAATGTTTTTTTTTCTTCACCTTGTGAACTTTATTCGTATCAAGATTAAGTCCCTCTAAATGAAGTTCAACATTTGAAAAGAAAAAATTTTCCGCAAATTAAAATTTCAGTTTGTGCGTGAGAGCAATGGTGTGCTATGTTTGTGTTGTCTAACCTTTCTGAAGGTCCGGAAGATAATCATTTCGGTAAGCCGTCGGAATGCTCTTGCGGTTTCATGGGCGAGTTGCAAAAGAAATAAGGCGGAAAGCCCTCAAAAAACAAATTGTTAAGCGTCTAAACAACAATGGTAAAGTCCCTTCGTCAGAAATAGATTTAAATGATGACTTCTCGGCTCGGTTTCTTTGAGGTTACTAGACACAAAAATCAAACTGGCACAACATTCGCGTTTAAAGGGCGACCATAATTTCATCTATTTCGATTTTCAATCAACAAAAAAGAAAAAAAAAAAAATCAAATGGATCGTTGGATTTGAACCAGTCTCAAGATTTACTCTCGAGCTTTACCCTGATGCCGCTAACACGGCTTTCTGTCAAACCAACTCGCTCCCAGTGAAGCTGACTCTTCGTGGATACTTGGCATTAGTTTGCAGGCAAAAGAAAAGACAGTTATAACGGCACTTCAACTGTTTTCTTGCTGCTCGCTCGTAGACTTTCTATCTAGACATAAGTTTTATTTAACTTTCATCTTCTACCACTATACAAAGTTCAATAGTATCATCTTGCTGTCAAACAAACCAAAATCCTCGATCGTCAGGTCTTATCTCGAAAAGCCTGAGCAGCTTCGGTTGCCGTGAAAGAGCACACGAGATGGCGACAAATGAAAGACCTTGGGACTTGCGGCTTGTTTGATTCCGCCTTTGAACACGATGGTAATGCAACCGAGTAAACCAGACCTTCAGAGAAAATTAGGCGCGAAAAATTCGCACGTAACTGAAGTTTTTTGTAGCCCTAGAGCATTTTGTCAGACAATCTCAACGAAACTCAAGTGATTGAAAGATCGATGGGCCTTGGAACTCTTAGAAAGCTTAACAGGATTGGCTGAGAAAACAATAGAACAAACAACAGAAATAGTGAGCTTAACTCTTGAATCTTGCCTTGTTCGATCCTGTACGTCCCAGGCCATCGACCCGAAATCGAAAACGATTGACCGCGGCGGAGTATCGAGGCCCAGGAACTAGGCAACCTTGAATCAACAGAGGTGGCTAAACAGGGAGTGAATGAAATCAGTTGTTTTCGTTAGAACAACTTGCGTTTAGAGCGCGTGGCCGCGAGAGATTGCTCTGAAAGCTTCCGAAAAATCGCGGACTATCTTCCTTACACACCCAGTGACCACAAAAAAGGCATAGGGCATAGGGCTTCCACCATAGCTCTGCACCGGACTCTGTTCGTTGCAGTCTTTTTGGCCTCCGCCTATGTCTTCCCGATGTTCTCCAGCTCTTTTATCTCTGTACGTCTCCACATACACACTATAAACTGTTTCGGTCTTCCTTGTTCCCTTTTGCCTTAAGGATTTCATGTCATTCAATTCTGGTGGTGTTCTCTCTCTCCTTCCTCAAGGTATAACCGATCCATTTCCATTCCCTCTCATTGTTGTGATTGCTACCTCTTCTTTTCTAGTTCTTTCTCGCAGTTCCTCATTCGTGATGACATTTGACCAAAAGATGCCGCGTATCCGGCGGAGTCTTTTATTCCCGAACGTCTGCACTTTGGAAAGCAGAGCTTTTGTTAGGCGTCAGGTTTCCGACCCGTATATAAGTACCGATTTGACATTAGAGTTGAACATCCTCAGATTTGTCTTGAGAGAGCACGCTCTTGCTTTCCAGACAGCTATGAAACATACAAACACTTACTGCGCTCTTCTGATCCGTGCGGTGATTTCCTCTTCTGTTCCTCCTGTTACGCTCACTATGCTGCCAATGTAAGTGCAATTGTCTGTCTATTGGATGTCTTCATTCCCAGCCGTGGAGACGGTTGCCATGTGTAGCCTGGATTCTCATTTCTCGTGTCTTGCCATCTAAAGTGATCTTAAGTCCTACCAGGAGCCATAATCGTGAACGGAGACCGTAAGTCTCTGGGTTCGCGCGCACCTATGATATGGGACAATTTTTCTATTTTTAGAA